GTGAAATCCACTATTGTTTTATGCTAAGTCAAAAACTATAAATGGAGTGTTTCTCATTATAATATAATGAGATGAAATCAAGGGATAATAAAACAATCAAATCACGCTGTTCTGATTTTCATACTCCTTAGATTTTTTCCAGGCCACTCCACCCAAAGTGATAATTGACTGCTCATATAAATCACTACTCTTTTTCTGCTTTGAAACTAAGAGAATGCAAACTAATAGAATTTAAATCCATTGTTGATTCTGGCTCTAGTGGAGTAGTGTGTACACCATTACTTGTGTGAAACATCTTTTCTTCATTTCTGTTGTTTGTGATCCTGTTGTTTGGCTTTATGTCTGTGAATAACTGGATGAAATAATCTCGCATTCACACACTGTCACAGCAGCCCTCTTCAAATTTATAATTTTCTTCAGTTTCTTAAAATAGTAGATGCTAAGCAATGCAATTTACCTAACTAAATGTATATTTATAACTTGTAAATAATGGAAAATTATAAGCCAACCTAGATAAAACTAAAATGGAAAAAGTGAAGACAGTGTTCTCGGGTCTCCCTGAACAGAAAACTTGTAACTGGGTTTCCACTTCTGGCTACTTCGAGTAATTTCCTCTTGCTAATACCTGACGGATGTGAAGATGGTGATGGGAGGAAATCTTCTCTTTCAAAACCTGTGTGCCTGAGATCACCGCCTAGGCTCCCCGACCCACTCCTCTCTGGATTTCTCTGGGTTTGGGTGGCGCGGCGCCTTCGGGAGTCCTTTCCCAGACTGTAACGAAGGATCATTGGAAACTATGGAAAGCTGGCTTGCTTAATTTTATGGATAAAGAAACTGAATCTCAGATTGAAAAACAATTCATTTTTATTGTAGAATGAAGGAATATTAGATCATTCCTAAATAGGAAGTTCAGAAACTCATACCTCCATTTGTTAACTCTTGCGACACATATTGAACTCCTCACTTTTTATGTTGGACATTAATTAGGCCCAATGAATGTGTTACTGAATCAGACCATCCCCACATTGCGGAGTTTACAGTCTACTTAGAGAATCAGATAATACAGTATAGAATATTAATTATGCAATAATATGAGTAAACAAGTTGGAACACTTTGAGGAAGCTCCTTTTCTAGCTTTAGGTGGAGGACGGTCAAGAAAGGTTCCTCTGCCTTGGTTGGTGTTGCTAAGTGGTTAGAGTGCTGACCCACGCACCAAAGGGTCTTGGGTTCGATTCCTGGTCAAAGCACGAACCTGGGTTGCAGATTTGATCCAGGGCACATGCAGAAGGCAACCTATGGATGTGTTTCTCTTACATCAATATTTCTCTCTCTTTCCCCTTCCCTCCTTCCTTTCCACTTTCTCTAAAAAGTCAATGGAAGAAATATCCTCTGGTGAGGATTAAAAAACAAAAATCTTCCACACTTAGGTGAGCTCTGAAGGACAAATTACCCAGGCAAAGAATTGAGGAAGAAAAGTTAGAGCGAAGAGAGCAGCATATAAAAAGGTCCTGAGTTAGAGACAGTGGCACAGAAATTCCCTGCATAGTCTCTTCTAGCTCTGTAATCTTGCACCTTTTTTCTTCAAGTAGCACAGTTCCTTGTATAATAGATATTCAGGCTTACTCTTTGGGCCAGTCATTGCATTTAGTACATTTTGCATTAGGTGGTTATTCTTACACTAATAATCGTCATCCTGAAGTAGAATCTAAGCTGCTTTTAGGGGAATGGCCGTATTGCTGCAACCCTGTATCACCTACAGCCATGCACAGTGCTTAGCACACAGTGGATAAGCAGGAGATGTTAACTCCTTGCACAAATGTATCTCCTAACACATCCTTGAGATTCTTGTCTATTCTCACTCTGCAGTCTTATTTTTAAGCTTTTTCTAGAATCTCTAAAATCTCCATTGTCTCTCTATAAACTCTTAGTGGTTTATCAGGTATCCCTGTGGCTGGTGGGAGACCTTCTAATCTGAAATTTTCACTAATGTAGTTTGCAGAAGTTTGTATCAGTTGGGTATATACCAGCATGTGTTTTTATTTTATTTATAGTTGGCCCTCGTTTATCGCAGTTAATCAGTTCCAGACTCTACGTGATAAATGAATTTCCGCGAAGTAGGATTCTTTATTTATATGCAGTCGTCTCTCGCCACTTGGTGTTTCGATGACTTCCATGGCTTCACTCCTGCAGTTTTTTCAAATATATTCATTAAAAAGTTGATTGAGACAGTGAAAATGATACAGCGTGTTCTTGGTTGTCTGCGTCAATCATACACCCCTGTGTTACAATTAAAATTAAAATTACTGTACGTATGGACTGTAGGCCTATGTATTCGAGCACCCCAGGAATCCTTCAATGCCACGTGCAACCGCTAGAGTCTGGAATGGATTAACAGCAATAAAAGAGGGACAACTGTATTTAGTTATTTATTTGTATTTTGTTAATTCTCACCAGAGGATTATTTTTTCCATTTATTATTATTTTTTTAATCCTTACTTGAGGATATTTTTTCATTTATCTTCAGATAGAGTGGGAGGGAGGGAGAGAGAGAGAGAGAAACATCAATATGAGAGCGACATATCCATTGGTTGCCTCCCTCATGACCCTGACCAGAGCCTGGGATGAACCGCAACCGAGGTACACGCCCTTGGCCAGAATTGAACCTACAACTCTGGTCTGCGGGCTGATGCTTTAACTACTGAGCCAAACTGGCCAGGGCATTCCATTGATTTTTAGATAGAATGGAAGAGGGAGAGAGGAAGAGAGACAGAGAGAGAGAAATATCAGTGTGAGAGAGAGACATCGATTAGTTGCCTCCTGAAAGACCCTGACTAAGGCTGGGGAGTGAACCTGCAACCCAGGTATGTGCCCTTGACTGGGAATCGAGCCTACAATCCTTGAGTCTGTGGGTTGATGCTCTAACAGCTGAGCGAAACTGGCCAGGGCAACAACATGTGTTTTTTAAAAAACTGATGTAAACTGATATTTGGTATGTAATTAAGTGACTTTAATTTTATTTGAATTAACTCACTTGGTTCTAGCAAGGCCAAGTGCTTCCCCTGCCCCTCCTACTTCCCTCCAAATAAACTTGGTAAGATGGGAGGGGAGAGGGTACAGAGGATAATGTTAATATTTGAGGCCTTATACCAATCACTGTAGTGTAGCCAAAATAGAAGAGTGACCCAGGCCATAAAGTCATTATAAAATAGGCCTTATCTTCATTCTTTTTTGGGGTCATATTTAATAAAATGGTCTTTATTAATAAAAGAAAATATATAATGTACAATTAAAGACCCCTTTTTTGCCCTTTATTAGAGCTGTGTGACCTTGGGCACATTCCCTAATCTGTTTCTGTGCATCAGTTACTTACTTCATCCGTAAAATGAGGATAATGTTGTCCAGCACCCCATAGGGTTGTTGGGAGGGTTAAATGGATCACAACACAGAGAATTGAGACCAGAACTTGAGCACTGATGCTCGGTTGGTGTCCACTGTCATTGCTCCTCCTCAATCCCATCTTTCCCCAGGAGCAGGCACTTCCATGAGGTTGCAGTACGTCCTTCCAGTTGCTGTTTATGTGCCTGTAATACATGATAGTTGTGTCTTTCAAAATCGACCTGTTTATTCTTATTTAGTCATATATTTGAGAATGCATGGTCTGTCTGTACCTTATAAAACTTTACTGTTTATCATTATCTAATAGGGAAATTATAGAAATGAATGTATGTAACTGTAGGGTAAGTGTGACAAATGAAATGTAAAGTTATGGGAATTCATTAGAGGAGATAATGTATTTAGAGCTGGAAGAGAAAAGTAATGGTGGGGATGAGTCTCTTACTGAATCTGGAAGCTTGGATAGGATTCTGATAGAGACGAGTTAGTTCTGTGTCATCTCTCTTGTTCCGTGCCTTTTCTCATAAGTAGGTATGCAAAAAGTATGTCATAGTAGGGGCTTGGAATATGTGAGCGCTTTGGAACAACCACTGAAGAACATGGTAGGGTGTCTAAGAGAAAGTAACAAAATGATTGGCATCAGTGGCAAGTGCCCCAAGTGGTGTGGATTCATAATGTACCCACTTTTACATTTAGAGTGTACTACGCCAGTGCACCGAGAATTCATATACACATCTATTTATGTATATATGACATGTATGCATGTTACCATGCATCTGATTCATGCTTAAAGGTTACCTTCTTCTATATACCTTCTGTATTCGACATGTATAAATACAAATTTGTATTTCTAAAAATTAAATCGGGATAACAACAATATTGTACCCACTTCCAAGCTGTTGGTAAACATGTCCAATTAAGATTACCAGTTTAGATAGATGAATAATAAATTGTGAGTTCTAGCTATTACCTCGTTTATGTCGATACTGTTTGCTATCGAGAGTTCTTTCTTACTTTGGAACCAACAAGTATTGCAGACTGGCTTTTGCAGAGGGGTTGCATGTTGTAAAGTGAACCACAGTGGTGCCACACCCATGGAAGATTCCCTTTGAGAAGGAGACTGCGTGCTAAGTGTCAGCTGAAAAATAACATGTCTTAAATATTGGCAGACATGTTCTTTTCACTCTCATTTGAAAAAATGAAAAGAGTTTGGAGATTTGGGGATTTGACCATTTTCAGAGTACCTGTGAATCAATTTTTCTGCCGAACGTGCCATGGTTTGACCATACCCACAGCGTGTTGTGTCACAACACACTGATTGCATGGGAGCAAAGGGACATGATGGAAACAGAGCTCCTCACCACCTTCCGTCGTCATCGTCACTCTAGTATGTCTCTTTTTTTAAGTGCTGGTCATAACAACTAAACTAATTGCATCATTCACAGACAGCCAACACCTTGACCTTTGAAAAACAGTGCTTATAAGATGTTTCTAACATCAATTTCATTTTTGAAATGCAGTTTTTATCTCTTTTAAATTCTCAAAATCATGTTTGTATTTCTAACTGTGGCCACTGGCTTAAAATATTTTCTCTTTTGTTAAGCAGGTATCAACATGGTTTTTTACCACCTTTTCTGTCTCAGGACTGAAGGACAAAATCCACCATGTGGACAGCCTCCACCAGCTATTTTCTGCCATCTCACCAGAACAGATCGACTTTCCTCCTTTTGTCCTTGAATATGATGCCAGGGTGAGTACCAGGAGTTCTCCCCGCCCTGGTGTAGTATCTTAACTATTCTGCAGAGCAGCTCTTACAAGTACTCAACATCCTTTCATTATAGGTGGTATTAATGCAATTGTGTGTTTTAGTAAATTTGATTGTATCATTTAACATTCTTTTTCTACAATAACTTTAGGAAAATGCTTTATCCTAAAAGAGGGCTTTTTTCTCCAGTAAACTTTTCAATGGCAGATTTTTCTGCTATAATTTTGAAGCCAGTCCTTGGTTGTATTGTGAATTTTCTGCCACCTTTCAGACATACCTCTGCCTACTTAAGATTGAACAGCTTTTCATCTACCTAAATAGAACCAGAAGAAGCTATTGGTGTCCATTTTTATTATTAACTGTAAACCAGGTAGCCTGTCTTAGTAGTCTTTACTAAAAGTTTCATTTTGCTGAAAACTGGTATAATATTTTTAAGAGTATCAACCAATATTAGTATTAGTACTTATAGATGCATTTATGAATCTATTACTTAAACACTAACGAAGGGCTACTCTTGAATTTTGTCATAGCTCTATTCCATTGTGTTTATTCATACTGTCACTTTAGTAGTTAAAACAAAGTAAGCAACATACTTGGCCAAAAGATCATCAGTTTCCTTATTTAATTGTTGTTGATTACATACCTTTATGCATGAACCAGGGAAGATATTTGAAGGTTATATTAAGTTTGAATTATTCTTTCTTAATTATTGTACAGCATGTATACAGTAAAATAAATATCCTACAGCACATTATTGTAACTTCTTTAACTTCAGCTATGATTTCTATTCTCTTATGTGAAGGGCAAAGTATGTCATGTGTATGGTGGCTAATAGAATCTCATGTTTGGATTTTACACACAGAGGACTAGTAACTGGAGCAGCTGGATATAGACTCAAAGGCTGTTGAATCTATGGGAGGGAAAGTGAACATCAGTTTGTATTTATTGCAGATTGCTGGAGCATTAAAATGGCCTAATTGTTATTCTTTTGAACTATATACATCACTTTTTTAAATATTTCCAAAAATAAACAGCAGGAAATGTGAAAAGCACTAAGACATTTTAATACCAAAAATTTGGCGTGACAATTCAAAGCTAGTATCTAGATTTATAATTTATTTTCTGAGGTAGAAACATACAAGTTGAATTGTATTAGTTAGAAAACCCAAAGGACTGTTGTTTAAGCCAACACACTTTCTATATACTTAGTAGCCTAGAAAGCAGTGTTTCATTAAATATTAATACCACACTCAAGCTTGGTTTTTTTGTGTGTTTTAGATTTTTGTTATATTTTGTATCAAATGCAGGCCTAATTAATATGGTTAATCAAAATTAAATAACCTATAATCTAATACTTGGGCCATTGGATCATCTGTACATACCTATACTAGAGCTTTCTAAAATTGAGATGTTAGACCATCTGTATGAAAAAGCCAAAGAGACGGATAAGATAAAAAGAGGGAAGAAATAGAAGATGATGTGAAAAGGGCAGGCAGAGGGCAGATCACTGGATGCTGGGGCTTTATATGTTATGCTGCAGTACAGCTGACCCTTGAACAACGCGGAGGTTAGGGGTGTCAATGTCCCATGCCGCTGAAACTCACATATAATTTTTGACTCCCCAAAAACTTAACTACTAAGAGCCTACTGTTTGCTGAAAGCCTTACTGATTATATAAAGTCAGTAAATACATACTTTGAATGTTGTATGTATTTTATACTGCATTCTTATAATAAAGTAAGCTAAAGAAAAGAAAATGTTATTAAGAAAGTCATAAGAAGTACAATACCATAAGTTTACATTATCTGTTTACAAGGTAAATCTGTCAGTACCTACATCAATATTGGATACAAAACACTAGAGATGTTGTATATATTACTAACGCTAGACATAAAAAATGAAAAGGTTAGCCCAGCTGGTGTGGCTCAGTGATTGAGCATCAACCCATGCACCAAGAGGTCGCTGGTTCAATTCCTGGTCAGGGCACATTCCCAGGTTGTGGGCCAAATCTCCAGTGTGGGGCATGCAGGAGGTGGCCAATCAATGTTTCCTCTCATCAGTGTTTCTCTCTCTCTCTCCCTCTCCCTTTCTCTCTCTCTGAAATTAATAAAGAAAAAAAAAATTTTTTTTAATAGAAAAGATAATGTGAAAAAGAAATTGACATTTATTATAAGTATAATAATTCATGCATTAAAAACAAAGCAGCAATGTGATTGATTTCTGGTAGCTTAGTATAATCGATACTTGCTATAGTAGCCTAGCTTATATACTAATGAATGAATGGTTTTAAAATGTTTATGGCATACAGTATTACAGTTGTATTTATAATCCATATTGGAAACGTTACATTTTTAAAACCTGTGATGTAGGCAGATACACAGTTTCTCCAGTTAAGAGAGAGAGGCATACTGTATGCCAATATAATTCCTTGAAAGTAAAGTTATAAACAGTAAGAAAACTAATATAATTAATTTTATATTAAATATCATTCACCTTATGTCTATGTAAGGATAGGCTGTCCAGTTCCATACAGGATGGACTACACCATGAATACTTAGGCAATGATGATGATGATGATAGACACAAAAACATCTCATACAGTTCTCGTCATACAGTTAGTAGACTTTTGCACGAAGACACACACATATACAACAGATAAGTTTATTAACTCCACAGCATGATGATTATTTACTATTCATTAAGTGGAAGTGGATCGTGATACAGGTCTTCATCCTCATCATGTTGAGTACACTGAGGAGGAGGAGGAGGAAGAGGTTGGTCTTGCTGTCTCGGGTGGCAGAGGCGGAAGAGGTGGAGGAGGTGGAAGAGGAGGCAGGAGAGGCAGGTTCACTCTCTGTAACTTGACAGAAACACATCATAATTTCTGCTTCACATTTTTGCTTTTTCATTTCTCTAAAAATGTTTCTGTATGCTATTAGTCCTTCTTCCGCTGTTTGCTTTAGTTTCAGTGCCCATATCCTAGAAGGGTCCTTGTCGTAAGAAGTCAAAAACAGTCTTGACTAATCAGAATCCGTCTGCCAGATTGGCTAATGTCAGTTTGTTTCCTGACATTGCTTCCTCTACGTCTTTTTCCTCATTGCCTGGCACTGGTGCGGAAGCACTCGTCTCTGTCTCTGGTGATGTCTGTCAGCTCTTGAATTTCTCCAAGATCCATCTCTTGGAGCCTTTCACCCGCCCCTCTGTCCTCCTTCCCCTTTTTGCCAGATCTATAGTCTCTTTCACAATGACCTTGGTTGGCTCTGTCGGAAGTCCTATGAAGTCATGCACATCATCTGGACACAGCTTTCTCCAACAGGAATTTATTGTTTCAGGCTTGATGGCTTTCCTGGCTTTCTCTGTAACAGTGATGGCATGTTCAGTGGCATGATCCTCACAGACTTTCATGATGTTCTCTCTACTGGGGTTTCCCTCCATGCGGTTAATAATCCTTTCCATAGAGTACTGTGTGTAATGACCTTTATTTATTTTCTAAAAATATTTTTATTGATTTTTAGAGACACAGGAATGGAGAGGAACCGAGAGAGAGAAACATTGATGTGAGAGAGAAACATTGATTAGCTTCCTCTTCACATCCCCTACTGGGGGATTGAGCCTGCAACCCAGGCATGTGCCTTTGACTAGAATCAAACTGGCAACCTTTTGGTGCATGGGATGATGCCCAGCCAACTGAGCCACCCACGCAGAGCTGTAATGACCTTTGAAGATCCTTATGACCCCCGATCTAGAGCCTGAATTAGAGATGTTGTATTTGGGGGCAAGTAGACCACTTTGACACCGTCAGTGTTGAACTCAGGGGTTCTGGGCGCCCAGGACATCGTCTAATATCAAAAGAACTTTAAAAGGCAGTCCCTTACTGGCAGGGTACTTTCTGACTTCAGGGACCGAGCATCGATGGAACCAGTCCAGGAAAAGGGTTCTTGTTGTCCAGGCCTCTGTGTTGTACAACCCAGAGACTGGCAGCTGGGTTTATCTTTTCCATTCAAAGCTCAGGGTTAGCAGCTTTATAGATAGGGGCAGTCCTGCTCACGAACCCAACTGCATTTGCACAAAGCAATAGAGGTAGCATATCTGTTTGCTTTAAATTCTGGTGCTTGATTTTCCTCCTCACTAATAAATGTCCTTTGTGGCATTTTTTTCCCCAGAATAGGGCACTCATGTCTGCATTAAAAACCTGTTCATGCAGATATCCTTTCTCCGCAGTGATTTTCTTAATGGTGTCTGGGAACTTGTCTCCTGCCTGTTGGTTGACAGAAGCTGCTTCACCTATTATTTTGACATTTTTAAACCTCTTTCTAAAATTATCAAACCATGCTTTGCTGGCATTAAATTCCCTAGCTTTAGGTCCTTCACCTTCCTTATATTTTAGGTTGTCACATGATAACTCCGCTTTTTCTCAAACCATTAGGGTCTATAGGTCTGCCTTGCTTGTAGTAATCCTGCACCCACACAAAACCTGCATTTTCAGAACGAGATAAAAATGTGTCTTTCACACAAAGTTCAAGGTTTTCACATCTGCTGGTGCATCTGCAGTGACAGCTTCACGAATGTTCTTTTCTTTTGCTCCAGTAGTCTTTTTTTTTTTAAATCCTCACCCGAGGACATTTTTTCCTGGAGTTTTTTGTTGTTGTTGTTGTTCAGATAGAGTGGGAGGAAGAGAGAGAGAGAGAAACATCGACGTGAAAGGGACACATTGAGTGGTTGCCACCCGCATGACCCAACCAGGGCTGGGGACAAGCTGCAACCGAGGTACATGCCCTGAGCAGGTCTCTCTGGACCGCAGGCCAACGCTCTAACTACTGAGCCAAACTGGCCAGGGCTGCTCCAGTAGTCTTTACGCTGAATGCATTTACCTTGAAAAGGCAGCAACCACCCCTGCGGACCTCATTCTGTGGTGCACACCAAGCAATTCAGCTTTTTCTTGTAATGTCATAATTTTGCTTCTTGGGAGCACTTCCAGCATCAGTAGTGGCACTTTGTATGGGTCCCCTAGTGTTGTTCAGGGTTTACAGGACTGTACTAAACATGAAACATACACGAGAACTGAGAACTGTGAGAGTGAAACATACATGCTTTGCTGTGGCACACAATTTACTGGAGAGATGAACTGCTCACATGGAGATGGTTGGAGACGGCGGAGCTCACACGGCATTTTAAGCAGACATTCACCACAATAGTAACAGGAGGCGGCAATGAAATTATTACAGTAGAACAGTATATACTACATATAATTTTATGTAGTTATGATTTAATGCTACATCTTCACATTTGTTTACATTTCTCTGGAATGGGGCCATGTATTGTCAGTGTTTATGTGCATATGTTTCAATAAATTTTAACTTTATAACAGATTTGTGTATATTGTATGGTAATAAATGATAAAATAGACTAGTATCTATGTATCTTTTATGCATTTGTGATAGTACACCTAACTTTAATTTTTTTCTATATTTCTAAACTACACGGTTTGTCTACAAATGTTTTCAAATTGTTACAAATCTCCAAAAAAATAATTTTAAAAAAATCTGCATACAAGTGGACCCACGCAGTTCAAACCCATGTTTTTAAAAGGTCAGCAGAACTTTGGTTTTATGGTCTGTGGGGATTGTTCTGCAAGGGAGGGTTGCTATTATATTCCTGTTTAGAAAGATGACCAAAGAAACAGCACAGAGCAACTGGAGAAGGAAGGATAAGACTGCAGGAAGGGAGACAAGTAAGAAGCTATTAGAGAATGCCAGAGGAGAAACGAGACAGCTAGGGCAGTGGTAATGATAATGGCAAGGATTTGAAGAGCTTAGAGATATTTAGAACTAGACATTCTAGGTGTTGCCATTAGAGGGGATGAAGATGGAAAAATAACTATGGTGACTATCAAAGTTTCTGCTGTGGGAGATTGGTGGGTGGTGGTGTCCCCACCCCCCGAAGGCAGTTGGAAGGAAAAGGGGTAGGGTGGGCCTTGGAGGGAAGAGGCAGGTGGTGTGTTCAGTTTGTGACCCTGGGTTTGAGGTGCCCATGGAGCACTGAGATGGAGGGCCAGGAAGTGGTTGGATGTTACCTTATACGAAAGCCTTTTCCTTTGCTAAGAAGAATTAAAAATATGATTAGAGAAAAGGAAGTGAGTATAGAGTTGGTAAATTATATTATCATGTTCAGCTATGCCTTACACATAGGATGTTCTTTTTTTTTTTTTATCCTCACCTGAGGACATTTTTCCATCCTTTGTACAGATAGAGTGGGAGGGAGAGAGAGAGGGAAACATCGATGTGAAAGGGACACATCGAGTGGCTGCCACCCGCACGACCAACCAGGGCCGGGGACAAACTGCAACCAAGGTACATGCCCCTAGCGGGAACTGAACCCGGGTCTCTCCGGACCGCAGGCGGACGCTGTAACCGCTGAGCCAAACCGGCCAGGGCTAGGATGTTCTTTATTTGGTGAAAGCATGATGCAATGTTGGCTGTTGCCCAGTTTCACTGGGCTTCTATTTCTCTGGGTCTTATGTGTCTTTGAATAGTGACATAAATTTTATGGGATTAAAAGGAACCTTTGAAGGTAATTAGAAGGTAGTTTTTATCTATCTACATCAAAATGGTTCAGAAAGGAGCTACTTAGTCAGCATTCTTGTGAATATAGTCGAAGAAGAGAGTATACAAATTTATCTCGTAACATTCTTCAAATTTCTATTATTGTTTCCAGAAATAGAAGAAGCATTTGATAGCTTAGCAGTCTCTTACACAGTGCGAGACTGGTATGAAAAGCTCTATTTCATAGCATTCAGATAGCTCTGCCCTTCTTACTTTATCACAGTTTAATGGAGATATGAGAAACTCAGAAAAAGAGGGAAGTGGGATAGAATGGAGAAATCTTCAAGACAGATAGTGAACCATTTCTTTTTAGATAAACTTCAGAACAAACTTACCTCTTCAGCATGTTTCTTAAGCATACCTTCCGTGCATGCTTAGGATACAGGAGTGGTTGGTGTAACAGACCTTCGTGGGAAATTCTAAAATACACAAAAAAATAAGTTTTCATTTAGGTTTTTTCCCCCAAGTATCCTGGAATGTAGCCAATCTTAGGATTTTGTTTTCATCTACATTTTTAAAGAGCTTTTTGATGCCTGGTCCGATTTATAATCAGAAAATGAATTTTCCTGTGTATCCTCCCATTTTCCTGGTTACAGTCCCAGGATGAATTCCTTTTCCAGAGCATCTGCTCTGAAGAGTGGCAGAACTTTTGATTCACTTAGTCCTTGAATAATGTTTACCTGCCTACTATGTGCAAGATGGGGCAGACTTACTGCTCGTAACAACTGTCATGTAAATATATGCCATAAAGCAGTGCCGTTTGTATGCTGCCTCTCACTTTCCATTTCTAACTACTCATTTACATTAATGCTTCACAGTTTCTGTTTCAGGTTTACTGAAAAACAGGTTGTCAAAGAAATACTTTCCTTAAAAATGAGAAATGAATCTTCAATCTCATACATGTAATCTAGGGTCCATCTACTATAAAGTTAACTGCTTTTATTTTTATTAAGATAAAGTTAGGCCCAGCCGGTGTGGTTCAGTGGTTGAGCGTCAACCCATGTACCAAGAGGTCTACAGGTTCGATTCCCGGTTAGAGCACATGCCCAGGTTGTGGGCCCAACCCCCAGTGGGGGGCATGCAGGAGGCAGCCAGTCGATGTTCTCTCTCTCCCCTTCACTTTCTCTTTTTCTGAAAATCAATAAAGAAAAAAAAATTTTTTTAAATAAATCTTCTTAAGAAAAAAAAAAAAGATAAAAGCCAAACAATTTCCCCAACACTGATTCGATGTCATCTACATTTGACATTAAAGTTCTGACATTTAATTCTCCATCTTGATCTTAAACTAAATGTCCTGAGAACTGTAATTGGTACGAGCCTTGACACTGAGGTATATTATGAAGACTCATTTCTGCCCAAACAGTCATAGTTTATTCTTCAGCAATCATTTGTTTTGTTTTGTAATTCTATATTAAGATTCAGCACACAGTAAGATAACGCAGTCTAACAAAATAGAATCTGGGTATTGTATTCAATTAGCAGTAGATTTAAACTCAGGCTCTTCTAGTTTCTAGCTATGTGACCTCTGTGAGCCTCAGTTTCTTTTTCTGTAAAATGAGGATTTTGTCTCCTTCGTGGCATTATTTAAGAATATAAAGGGATAAGAAAAGAAAAATGCTGATAAAGTTTCTGACATACAGAATATTCAGTAAATGGTAATGATATTAAAAAATAATACCCTGATTACCTCTGCCTATCGTACACCAACTCTGATTACCGTGGAACTACTCTGATGGCTTGTCCTAGAGATTTTATATATATATATATATATCAAGTCATTGACTCTACATTCCTTTCTTTTATATTCCCAGTTAAATTGATCCCATGACTTAGTGTTCTTGTCTTTTCTTCTTTCCACAGGAAAATGGGCCTTACTATACATCTTATCCCCCATCCCCAGATTTGTGACCTGCCATCTTTCAGTGCTACCGGTTTCCAAGGACGCCACTTCTCCATGAATCACTACCCGTTGAAGTGATATTCATTTTGCTGTACAGATCCAGAGAGCCTTTTGTCCCCATCTCTCTGGTATTTTTTTATTGACTGTATATTTTCTGGCACATAAGCAATCTGAAAATGGTAGGCCATTCTGAATTGCACAATTATTTTAAATTTGTATATTTGTATCAAATGAAAATGTTCATTTTTAGAGGGTTGTTAATAGAAATTGGGGAGCAGCTTTTGAGTACCTTCAGTTTCCTGAAAGGACACTGGATTCTCCATTAGAAAAGCCACCAGTATTGCTCACATCATCTCTTTAACACTGCACACTTCCTTTGTGTACTCAAGCATATCTCAAAATATATATAACCAGTGGATGCTGACCGGATGGATTATTTGCTTCAGATCCTGTCATTATGTTTTATACAGATAATGTTGTTATGATAAAAGAGAATGTCTGGGACCAAGGATGTGGAAAGTATCTGATCAAAAACATGAAAATCATTAGCAAAATATAGGTCTTAGAATTTCACTGCACCAGAGATTGAAGAACTAACATTTCTTGGAGCGCATAGTTTACCAAGATTGTTCTGGTTTCAACAGTGGGGGAAACAGGAAGACGGTAGGTATCTTCAGCCTTTTTCCTATAATCATGGGTGATTTGGTCTCCTCATTCAAGATGCCTGTGCGTATTACTGCTCTGAAGTAGAAGGCCTCTCCTGAGACTCCATCAGTGAGAGCGTTGCCTTCCCAGAGTCATGAATGATCTCGTTTGGCTCTTGTGAGAACAATTCCTAGTTGCCTACATCAGTAGGGAGGTAGTGTGTTGCATGGAACAAAATTCTAGACCACTTTTATCATTCAGGCTTGATCTGTGCCTTAGCTTGCTTAAGAATGAAAATTAGAATGATGCACCCTACCTCACAGGTATGAGGATAGCGGTTACAAAGGGCTTTTGACGTCTTTGGGTGAAAATGCTAGGGGAGTTTTTGTGGTGGGGTGTCTTCAGTTCGCTTTTTCGCTGATAATAAATATGCTGGAGGGAGTGCTACAAGCCACTCCTCTTGTCCTTGGCACCTTTGGAGTGACATTTCTTTTCTTAGGACATGAGCTGTCAGAGCAAAATCCCAACCCCAAGGACCTCCTTCCTGCTTTGTCCAGGATTTCTGGCCTCCTCCTCCCCCAGGGCTGCACTCTAATGAGAGGCATCTGTGAGCCATTTTAAGCATTTCTTCTTCAATTAAGGTCACTCCATTATCATTTCCATCTGGGTGTCTTCATGTTCCTTTTGATTCCTATACCCACCCATCTCCTCCACCCCAGTGTGTACATTGGCATTTTGGAGAAGAAAAGGTAGAAGTCTTCTGTTCCAAAGTGCTCAGGGTTGGTGCTTCTAAGGTTCCTGTTCCATAGGCCCAAATTCTTCAGTGGAAGTAAAAGAAACAACTTCTCTTTGTTCGTGATGGAGAAATCCCGTTTGGTTGTGTTAACTGCAGCCTGTATTTTCCCACGAAAACAAGAAGGGGCTTTACGTTTCTTAGATAAGCGCTGTCATCTTCTGCATTTGCCCCTTGTTCCTTATATATGCTCATTTGTTAAGGGCTCCCTGCTGACCTAGGTCTTTGGGTCCAGCGAGCCAGTCAGATGTCTGATATTCAGCTTCCTCTCAAATAGTAATGCTTTAACCCCTTGAGCCTTAAAAATCTGAAAAATTAACTTCATCTTCTCCAGGCAATTGTTAGGTCATGTTTGAGGTATCTTCTCACTGGGAGCAGTTATAAAAATATGCCAAATTTTCTTTGTGAAGGCTGGATTTGGCCACCTCAGATTGGCATCTGACCCAAATTATTTCCTCTATACATCATGGAGCTGCAAGCTACTTAGCTATTTGAAAGGAAGCAAATTCATATGTACAGTTTCTCAAGAGGCAGTAACTGGGAAAGGATGTCCCTTTGCTCTATGTATACCAGTATATTAATGCCTAGTGTCACAAGCAGGATGCTGAGGTTCTGGCCTCATTGATGTCCTGGGTAGAAAGGTGGTGTAGGACTACATACATATCAGCTGCATTTCATCATTGAATAGAGACTTAAGATAAGGGCTGCTCTTCTCATTGAAACTACATTTGGTATGGGACCAAGTTCATGTTTTTATAGCTGTCTGCAGGGTTATGTAATGGAGTTGTTTCTCAGTGTACTAAAACCCTAGGAGTGGAACATAGTGACCTTGATATTGAAACGATGAAGTAATGTTCAGTATATATCTGCCTTTGTGGAACGGTTGGATAGCCTGGATAACACATGCCATTTGCAAGGACATTTTTGAGGATGAAAGGGTGACTGGGTGGGGATGACCACTAGCATCTGATGTTAATTTAAAGCACCACAAAGTCCTTAATTCAATTAAACTTTGGTCATGCCAATGCTAGTTGAATTGAAGAAACAACTTACAAAATATTAAGTTAATTCATTCATTAATTCATGCAAGGCATAATATGATTTTTAAAAAACAAGTACGTTTCTTGCTTCAGCACATATTTGGACTCTTCTTAACTTCTCTTTCTCCAAGTTCCTTGACAGTGAAAATAACCTCTTGAAAATAGTTCAGTTTTTATTAGATTCTTAAGGTTTAGAGACCAAAGTGGTTCACATTTTAAAGATTTTTATTTAATATACCTTATTTCATTAGCTGGTGCTCTATTTTTGTTGTTGTTATTGTTGTTAAGGAAGCCACCTCCAGGAATTTGAGAGTAGTCAACGGGACTTTCAGAATATTTTTTGATAAGAAAAATGGATGTAGATTTTTTTTTATCAAATATCTGAAATCTGAAAGGATTAAAATATCTTCTATTTGTAGAGATGGACAGATATAACCTCTTTAGTAGAAAAAATGGTTAGCTTATTTCCACTTGTTTTCTGTTTGCTTACTGTTTAATGAATTCAAATTGTAGGTACTGGTTGAAACTTTTCTTTGCAGCAGTTAGTAGGAAAGCGATAAAGTGTAGTTTCAGTATGAGCTAAAAACCACGTTTTGTGTTTCCCTTGATACATTTTCTGTGTACGTATGTATATAGAGTTTAAATTGCTTAATATATGAACAGAAATTATTAGAATTTGAAGAATTAGAAAGAGAAGTATATGGTGCTAGGAGCAGTGGATTGAGTATATTAAGCACCAAAAAGACTATGAGGTAGTATATAAACCTCCAAAACTGGAGTTAGCCAGAGAGTTTCAGATTGTGGTTCCCTTAAGCTATGGTCATTATAATGAACATGCAGGAGAGTTTTTTAGCTGTACTCGCAATTTTTGTATATACCTCATGGTATATGATTGAGTCTTGGTTTGCAATTGCCTGAGACCATGAAGGATAAAGGAGGGTTCTACCTGTAATGTAGGCTATAATTAAAAATTAAAAGACTCAGAAATTATAAGGATTGCCTAGTAAGGCCTAAACACACATGCGCGCGCGCGCACACACACACACTCATACACACACGTATGTACGTATACATACACACAATAATCTGCTTTGCTTTACATTGTTTAAATGTGATTTTTGTGGCCCATATGTGGAGAAAATAGAGCAATAAATTTTTTATTCTACCAAAATAGCCCTTTAATAGATGGCATCAAGGTCATTTTAGATATTAGTGGCTCTCTTGGCTATTAGTTGTTAGCTTTGTTTTTTATGTTTCCAGGAACATATCTTTGAATCCTTTTAAGTACTGTATGCCCTAAATGTATAGGATTGCTGAGTTCAAGAAGAAAACATAGATATTTCGTAGGTGAATTAATTCACAAAATTGTAACTGCTGAATGTGATCTAATATTTTTGTTTAACTGTTAAAACTAATACATTTTACATACACAATCATACTTTAAAAAAAAACAAAACATGTTTCATTAGTGTAAGCATGGAGTCATAAACTGATCCACGACTTTGTTAGACCAGATTATGTGGACCAAGATATTTAAATTAGAGCTTAATATATACTACGTAAGTGATTGCAGTTGTTATTGGGCATAGGAGACCAAAAAGCATTTGGATGGACATGATCTTAAGATTTGTTTATTCAAAATTCAGAAAGCTTTTATGAATATAATTCATTAAAAACTATACATTAGTCAATCTGAATGAGAAGTTAGATCCCTTTTCAAGAGATTCTCACTCTGCAAATAACAGCTTGTGAAGAACCAATAGTAAAATGGTCATGTTTATATGGAACCCCAGGGGAGGACAGTGTTTTTGGCCATTGATGCCTGGCATTTCTCTAATCACCAAAGTTAACGAATAGAGTAGGACAAAATGCAGTGAATTTTACCATCAACCTTCTCTTTGGAGATCTAGAGTAGTGCTTCTCAAAATTTAACGTGCATATATTATGTGAGTTGGGAATATTTATTAACGTGCAGATTCTGATTCAGTAGGTCTCGGAGGGGAGCCTGCATTGTTTCTCACAAGCTCTTACATGATATTAGTACTCCTGGTCCCAAGATCACACTTAGCATTAAAGAACCTAGACTATATTTAGAACCTACCTTATTTTCTCTGTTTCAAGGCAGAGACAGAACTGTCATTGTAATTCCTTCTGTGGGTGGGGCACTCACACACTGATGATCTCAGTCCGATGAGTCTCGGGAGGTAGGTGGTGGGGGCTGAGTGGAGGCTGCAGCCCCCACACGGGCCGTGCAATATGGAGCAGTGTTTCGCAGACCTGAGCAGTCACATCCCCTTTGCAAAGGGAACATTCTCTTAGCGCCTCAGTTTTTACTTTATCTATTATAATGTTTGTTATCTAAATATGTACATAAACATAAAGCTACGTAAGACTGCCTTATGCTTGTAGCTCTTACACAAGTATAAAACCAAAAGATGTTTACAGGTCAGACACAAACAAATCTATAAAACTGATAATATTTGAAATTGCATTAATTAAATATAATGGATGATGTTTTGTCAAAGTGAAACTGTCCCTTGTAATGTGATTATGGTACAGAGTGCTATAGTAAAGGTTCTTTTGAGTTCAGCATGCACATATTACCATGTGCTATGGTGACTCAACTCTCCCACTGTTTTTCTCTGTCAGACGGTTACTTTCATTTGTCGGGCACATAGTGATGTCATTTGGTATTCATCTAGCTTGAATGCATTGCTTCCCTATTAAGTCAGCCTCTGTTCTGCATAAGCCTTGCACAACTCAGCAGAACCCTGCCCTGCTGCCAGTGAATGCTGATGCAGACCTAGGTACTGGAGTGTTCTGGTAACACCTGGTTTTAAGGCATCTATTTATTCAAATTATTCAGAACATGAATGTTACTTTTTAAATTTTTATCAGCATGAAAAATGTCTAATTCTCACAGCAAACTCATGGATCCTCCTCCCCAATACACACACACCCATACACACACACACACACACACACACACATACTTCTTTCTCTCCCTCTCTCCCTCCCTCCTATCTCCCCACAAGAATTTAAAAATTTTTTTAAAGTAAATTTATTGGGGTGACATTGGTTAATACAATTATATAAGTTTCAAGTGTACAATATATAATACATTATCTGTATATTGCATTGTGTGTTTACCACCCAAAGCCAAATCTCCTTCTGTCATCATATAGTTTACTCCCTGCCCATTTCCCTTCCTCTGGTAACCACCATACTATTGTCTGTGTTTATGAGTTTGTTTGTTTTTTTTGTTTGTTCATTTGTTGCTCTCAGTTTTATATTCCACATATGAGTGAAATCATGTGGTTCTTGATTTTTTCTCTATGACTTATTTCTCTTAGCATGATATTCTCATGATCTATCCATATTGTTGCAAATGGCAATATTTCATCTTTTATGGCTGATTAGTATTCCAGTGTATGTATGTACCACATCTTCTTTATTCAATTATCTATCAAAGGATACGTCAATTGTTCCCATGTCTTGGCCACCGTAAATAGTGCTGCAATAGACATAGAGGTACATATATCTTTACAAATAAATGTTTTCAAATTTTTCAGGTAGGTACTCAGAAGATCCCCACAAGAATTTTTAATGGTGCTTTGGCTTCTCACATATCTGGGTTCCTTGGGCATGTTTCTCAACCTTTTCTGAACCTCAGTGTTTTCATATATTAAATAGGGATAATAATATTCTTTGAATAATTAAGAGAAATAAATGCAATAATGTTCATGAAGCATGCGTAGTGTTTATAAATGGTAGCTACCATTGTTTTGATTGGAAATAATAACTAACATTTTGCTAAGCTCTTTATATGATTTATATATTGAGTGATAGAATCAGGATTCAAATCCAAGTCTGACTCCAAAGCTCATGCTCTTATGAAAAATAATTTAATATAGATCAATATCAGTTGCTTATACATTTTTTAATCTTAAGTTATATTTTCTGAATATTTGTTATAAAATTAATGTTTCTGTAGAGGGGAAATGGCTAAAAGTTCCTTTTAATAATTCTGTGAATATGCTAATAATAACATTGACACAAAATAAATATAAATTTTACTTAACAGGTTGTCATGCTAGGTTGTGGTCCAGTAGAGGGATATTAGGGCCATTAGGCTCAACTTGTCCATTGTCTTGCACATCTATGATCTGTAACTAAGGATAACATGAGTTCTTCCTGAATCTGGGTACAGTTTTTGCAGAGAAAGAATTTTCCCCTGACCAGTACTATCCTGATGTTCCTTGATAGTTCTGAGAAATAGTATGTAAACATCTTAAATTTCACCTGTGAAACATATTTGAAAAACTTGCTTTAACTGTCCTTTAAAATAGTTTTTTAGTAACTCTTTTATCTTTTTCTAGTTTTCTAAATAAATTCTGGAGTTCTGAGAAGTGAACAAGCATACCTATAGGCTGGGTTTTCTTTTTTTAATTGTTTTGCTTTTTTCTCTCATTGGATGATAGGAGAAAATACCAGGAGAGGGTTGTAAGAGGAAGTTAGTTATTTTTTAACAAAATAGTATGTGTCAAACTCAGGTTTTTTCCTTACTCGCTGTACCATATTTGCATAGATTATTAAAGTAGTGGAATAAGGCTGACATTGAATTCTGTTCAAGTCTGTTTTAAAAATATTTCCCTCTAAGAATGATAATCCATGTTGCAGAAATTATTGATTCTTTTTCCAATTCAAGCTCCTTTCCCCATCTGTCTACAAGGTCTTGAAGTTTAAATTCAAGCTCCTTTCCCCATCTGTCTACAAGGTCTTGAAGTTTAATGCCTGCGTGCCTCTTCATCCATACGTGTAGGTTGGAGACACATGCTCATTCAGAGCCTCATCCATATCACAGCATCTGACAGTTCTGGCTCCACATTGACAGATAAGGCCCCGTTCTACCTGATTTTCTCCATGTCAGCAGTCTTATTTAATGTAGGTTATGAGCCCTGCTTCAGTCTAAGTTATTTTCCTATTTATTGATTGATTGATTGATCCTTACCTGAGGACATTTTTTTCATTGATTTTTTAGAGAGAGTGGAAGGGAGGGAGGGAGGGAGAGAGAGAGATTGATATGAGAAAGACACATCAATTGGTTGCCTCCCGCATGTGCCCCGACCAGGGTGTGGATCGAACCAGCAACCCAGATACATGCCCTTGACTGGGAATCAAACCTATGACCATTTGGTACATGGGCCGACACTCTAACCACTGACCCACACTAGCCAGGGCGTCACATTATTTTCCTCTTTTATTAAGTACAAATAAAACTGATTCATTACAACTTTCCCTTTACTATTTGGAGGAAATGGCCTCCGGTCTTTTGCTTATTTTAAAATCTAAGTTTATTTTTATAAGTAGGTGTATAAAGCATTTGATTATTTTACTATGTCTTTTAGTTTATAGGTATCTGACACTTTCACTTTGAAATGCTTATTATAAATAACATTGATTTTTTTTTAAGCATTGTTCTTAGGTGGGCTATGTTATCTATGGATTTTATTTCTAATAGTAAAGTAGGTATTAAAACTTATTATGGCCCTGGCCGGTTTGGCTCAGCAATTAGAGCGTCGGCACGTGGACCAGAGAGTCCCAGGGTCAGTTTCCTCTAAGAGCACATACCTCGGTTGCAGTTTGTCCCCTGCCCCGGTTGGGGTCGTGTGATTGGCAGCCAGTCGATGTGTCTCTCTGTCTTTCTCCCTCCTGCTCTATCTGAAGATAAATGCAAAAATATCCTCTGGTGAGGATAAAAAAAAATTATTATGAAAGGGGACATTGGTTCTCAGACAGTTGAGAACCACTCAACCCTATCATTTTGCAGATGAAGACATGGAGGCCCCGGCAGGTTGAGTCAGTTTGGGCTCATGGCAGACAACATAGGCTCTAGGCGGCTTCAGGTGACCTTGCCACCTACAGCTAGAGCTCTTTGGTTTACCTGTGTTTGCACAGCTGCTTGACTTGGACATTCTCTCTTATGTCCTCTAAAAAAAGGGTTTGGTTTTTTAATGTATTATTTATCACTTATTTCTTATTTAAGTTGCACTTGCTCAGCCAAGTTCCAAGGGAGGACCAGAGTTTGGTAATCAGCAGCAGAGGTTATCAATGATCACTTAGGGACTGAAAACATTTGGGAGTATGAGGTAATGGGGGTTTAAAGGTTTGACAGGCATGGAAACATGGAACAGACTGAGGAATCTCAGAGAAGGGGCCAGGAGGGTGGGGAGAGATTAACCAACAAATTTATGTGCATATATGCATTGCCCATGGACACAGACAATAGGGTGGTGAAGGCCTGGGATGGGGCAGGAACTGGGTGGAGGGGTCAATGGGGGGAGGGGGGGTGACATCTGTAATACTCAACAGTAAAGTTTAAAAAGTATATCTATATATAGTGGTTGAGCATCGACCTATGCACCAAGAGGTCACCAGTTCCATTCCCTGTCAGGACACATGCCCAGGTTGCGGGCCCGATCCCCAGTTGGGGGCAAGCAGGAGGCGGCCAATTGATGTTCTCTCTCATTGATATTTCTATCTCTCTCTCCCTCTCCCTTCCTCTCTCTATAATCAATAAAGGGAAAAAAAAGAAATGTGTATATATATATATATATATATTACTATAAAAAAAGAAATTACCAGAAGGTATACATACTGAACATACAAAAGTAAACTTAAAACAAATACACATAATTCAAGGTGTTCTAAAAAGTATTTGTAAACCTTTATGTACTTATTTGATGAGGATTCGCAGTCCTAGAATTAGTGGAGACAAAAGAAAAGTGATAAGCAACTTTAATGTAGCTTATCGTGGTTTTATTTAAAAATCTAACATAATGACAAAAAAAAGGTTTGAGTGTTTTTTTTTTTATTCCCAGCTATTTATTCACCTGTCTCTTAAATAAAAATGTCTTCTTCCAGCAAAGTTGAACAAGAAAGCAGCATTTGAAATCCCCTCTTTGGAAACCAAATAACCTTGAGAATATGCTTGTCTGAGCCGAGTGGGCAGCACCCAGGCCGCCGCGCACACCAGGGCAGTGCGGCCCTTCCAGGGCCAAGTGCACCGGCCGGCGCTGCGCTCACATGGCGGGCGTTCTCGCGGGGGAAGCTCAGTGCTCATCCACGACCGAGCCCGCTCCTCTGTCATCACTCTTACAGCAGAGAGATTGTCCTTGCCTTGTTCCTGGATCAGTGGCGAGGTCACAGTGCAGAAAACCACTTGTGCACTCATTCAGCGAGGGGTTGTAAGGGTCGGCACTGCAGGGTGCCAGCCACTGTGACAGACTGAGCGGGCACAGAGGCTTGAACCCGGTGCAGGTGTGTTTCTCACACAAAGTCTAAACATGTTACTGAGGAGAAGTAGCCCTTCTCCGAGTCCTGATTCACAGACCCGAACTTCCACTTCAGGGCGCTGCTATCTTCCAAAGGACCTGTGCTTTTCCCTTCAAGCTGGCATCTGGAGGGAGAACACGGAGGACTTCACACGAGGGTTTTACCTCTCAACCCTGGAGGTGTACATACCACTTCCATTCAAATTCCAGTATCTAGAACTCAGTCATCCAGGAGGCCAGGGGATGTGGACCCAGGAAGAGGATAGGAATTTGGAGCCCAGCTTTCTGCAAGAATCCAGCTACGTAGAAAGAAATGGCCATGGAATGAGGAATCCTCCAGCAGAGGGAGATCACATGTCAGAGAGAGAGATGGGCACATGCTCATAGCTTTGCCTGGACCAAATTCCATGCATAGCTTGGGACATGCCTGTAAACTGAAGCTGCTAGTCTCCAGCGCCTCTCTCACCAAATGTGCATATACTCTAAAGCAGGGGGCTTAGAGGGGCACCTAGACGCTCTTCCCTTGATCTTGTGATGCGTTACTACACGAGTCAAGTCCGTGCATCAAGAGCACTGACCTGCTAAAAATGTGGACTCTCAGGCCCCACCCCAGAACTATTGA